AGAGCTTTGAGTCTAAAGAATTGACAAACTCCGGAGTTGATTTCCTGTCAGACCTTTTGCGGTTGAGACAGAGTCTGAGGCTTTGATGGTAACCGCGTTTGATTAGAGACCGTGCAGCTTCGCTGTTTTATTGTAAATACGTAAATGAGAAAGAAGAGAAAAACGTAGGGTGTCGGGAGCAGAGGCGGGAGTCGGGAGATCCTGCGATATCGGGGTCCCTGTGGAGCGGGGGAGGCCGTCGAGGTGTGCGAGGGCCCGGCCCCGGCCCCCTTGCCGCACGGTCGTTAACAGGAAAGGCTCTGATTTGGTTGGTGGCGGATCGCGTCCCTCCCTCCTCTCCCCGACTTTCCCCAAGAGCGGCAAAGTGGCTTCAGGTTGACTAAAAGAGAGCGATTTTCCCAGCAGCTTTGCAGCGCGGTGTTTTCTAAAGCGGGCCGTGGGCTGGGTGCCCTTTTGGGCCTCACTTGTCCGGCCTGCGGCAAGCGCTGGGCGATGGGATACGGTTCTGGCGGCAATGGAAGGGCTGCCTTTGAGAGTCTCGCAGGAGGATTTAGAAAGTGATTGTTCTTAAAACGAACGGAGCGGTCTGGCTGTTGTAATTGGCCCCGTTTTTCTGTGTGTTTCTCAAAGTGGTCCCGGCGTGAAAAGCCGTTTTCAGACCTCATTGTGAGCTGTGCCTCATCTGATGAGTTGATGGCAGGTGAAAGCCGTGCGCCTCCGGAGCGAATATTTACGACTTTTGAAAATGTCTTTAATGTCTAAAAAAGTCTCTTAGAAAAGCAGACGGCCTCTTGTTCTTATGTTATCAAGAGTTTATATTTCTGTGGTAAACATAAGTGAGTTTCATTTTAAGTAAGCTCATTTTGCGAGATTTGAGATTTGAAAGTGAAATTAATTAATTTTGCACAATCTAGCCTTGGGCTCTGAGAAAATGTTGTCAAGCTGTAATTAATCTTGTGGGACGAAGTGAAAAGGAACTAAAGTGTATGGTGTAATGAATAGTTTAAATTTCTGTGGTAAATACAAGTGAGTTTCATTTTAAGTAATCTCATTTTTACAGGATTTGAGATTTAAAAGTGAAATTAATTTTGCACAATCTAGTCATGGTTGGGCTCTGAGAAAATGTTGTAAAGCTGTGATTTATCTTATGGAAAGAAGTGAAAAGGAATTAAAGTATATGGTGTAATCAAAAGTTTAAATTTCTGTGGTAAATGCAAGTGAGTCTCATTTTAAGTAAACTCATTTTTACAGGATTTGAGATTTAAACGTGAAATTAATTCATTTTGCACAATGTAGTAGTCATGGTTGGGCTCTGAGAAAATGTTGTAAAGCTGAAATTATCTTGTGGGAAGAAGTGAGAAGGAACTAAAATGTGTGGTATTATCAAGAGTTTAGATTTCCGGGGTAAATATAAATGAGTTTCCTTTTAGGTACGCTCATTTTTGTGGAATTTGAGATTTAAAAGTGAAGTTAATTTTGCACAATCTTAGTCATGGTTGGGCTCTGAGAAAATGTTGTAAAGCTGTAATTTATCTTGTGGGAAAAAGTGAAAAAGAACTTAAATTTATGGTGTTATCAAGAGTTGGCCAGGCACGGTGGCTCACGCCTATAATCCCAGCACTTTGGGAGGCCAAGGCGGGCAGATCACTTGAGGTCAGAAGTTCAGGACCAGTCTGGCCAACATGGTGAAACCCAGTCTCTACTAAAAGTACAAAAATTAACTGGGCATGGTGGCGCACGCCTGTTACGCTAGCTACTCAGGAGGCTGAGGGAGGAGAATTGCTTTAACCCAGGAGGCAGAGGTTGCAGTAAGCCGAGATCATGCC